CTTCAGAGGGGGAAAGTAGATTAGTCGCTGCTTAGGGGCTGGGCGTGGGTAGGAGGAGTAAGGATGTGATGACTTAAAGGGCGCACGGTTTTGTGTTTTTTTTTGAGGTGAAGAAAATGTCCTAAAATTGACTTTATTTGTGTTTGCACATATCTGAGAATATACAAGAAACTAAAACCCAATGAATTATGCTCTTTTAATGGGTAGCTTGTGTGATATGGGAATTGTATCTCAAGAGAGCTATTAAGAAACGTTAGCATCGCCCACATTTACTCACCAAACCATTTTATCCATTAGGAGACAAAGTAGTTGATGCCACAGATGCTAATTCTATTTCATGACCCTGTTTATGGTGTCATATTACTCAGCAAATAAAACAGAATAAGAACCACCCAAACATCAAAACAAATCTCAAAACAAACTCTATATTTGAATGATTATGTTTTTTGTTTATCAAAAATTTTATATGTATATATATATATATATATATATATATATAAAATTAACTTTCTGTGTCACTATTTAAAACTACTCTTTGCTTTTTCAATTGAATTACTGGTCTTTGCATGAATTGGAAACATTTCAAAAGCTCTAGCTCAGGTACTAATATGTGTAATAGTCTCATGCTGATTTCAAAACAATAAAGATCTTATGCAATCTGTCTCACTTAGAACTCAAATTTAGCAACATATTAAAAGGATAATATGCTAACACAAAGGAGAGTTCATATCAGGAATGGTTCAGTATTAGCTATGCTAATATAATCGCTAATATGATTATTAATATGATAAACAGATCATCTGATGATACTGAAAAAGTATTTTTAAGATTCAAAATTATGGGACAGCGTAATCCTATGTGACTCAAAAAACTTATTTTTTGGAGATATAAAATATTGCTCATTTTTTCTTATTAATAGTCAAGAGTGTGTACTGTGATAGTGATTATACCCACCCACACCCACACCCAAACCCATTCCACGTCGCACATATATTTTAAGTTCTTTTGAGTCAAAGGGGATACTAAGCATATGTGTCTTCCAGGTCCCCTAACCAAGTTCACGTGGAAGTAATATGGGGGAAAACAAACTAAAAAGAGAAACTCTACAAAGTAGCATCTATAGGCTAGAAGTTTTGAAAAATTTCTTTTAACTTAAAAATATAGATGGAATCAGAATAATGACTGAACCCGAGAATAAAAATGACATTATGTATGGTAGGGGATGGTTATTGTCAATGTAGGAGACGTTCTTCCAAGTGGAATATAGGAACACTTAAAATTCAGAGTCAAACAAATGCAGTGGGGCAGGAATGGGCATAGGATAAACCATAAAAGAAATTATTTAGAGGTTTGCTTTCCAAAACCCTTGGCCAGCCCGGTGCTTACCCAGTTCCTTTGGCCAACCTTGCCGTCTAAATAAAGGGACAGCAGCACGATCATTGAAGTTCTCTGGTGCTGCTTTTTGAACAAGGTGATCCATCTGCCCCACCCACTCACAAAGAGCTGCTTATACTCAGTTTCTTGGGAAAGAGACTTAAAACTGCAGAGGATGAAACCTGTACCAGTTATCCATACTGATCAACCTGGTCCTTTATTCCAAAACCTGAACAAACAGCCGAGAATCATAAAATATTCGCGGAAAATCAATCACAGCAAATAGGAGACAACAATAAACAAATAGAATAGCTATTATTTAGCCAATATAAATAATTCAAGGTCTAGGAGAAAAATTTACAAAGCAATGATCATTTCTCATTTTAGGAATATAGGAGGCTATATTATTCATACCAGCCATTCGACTGGAAATAACTAGAAAAGCTGCTTTATGTATATATACCATATAAGATGTTCTCTGTGTCTTCCCTAAGGATATTAAGGACTTACCAGACCAAATTCAAGGGAAATTGAGAGTCCAAAGAGATTGGCTAAACACAGGCTGCCTTTGCCTTGAGGTCACTTGCTAGCCCAGACAATTTGAACTTAGATTTTGACAACCTGTTGGGCCTACCCAAGATGGAGATGGAAAATACAAAAGGAAAGTTAAGAAACATAGATAATTAATGTAGAGCTTTGATTGTATCTAATAGAGATTTAGAAAGAAAGGGCAGTCACAAAGGAGGAGACTTTAATAATTAAAGAAATAAACTAAGGGAATTTCCCTGCAGTGAAGAAAGGCTATATTATTAAAGTTGAAAAGATGCATCTTGTGTCAAGCAGGGTAAATGACAGCTTACAATTTTTTCACATCTGAAATTTTATATTTTAATTTGAGGGCAAAAAATGGGCATTTTCAAACATATCAGGATTCAAAATTTACATATTATTTATCCCATCTTATTGGTGTTTTACTGTATGGAATGTAAAATGAAAAAGAAACCCAAAATATAAGAGGAGATAGGATTGAATACATTAAGTTAAAAAGAGAGTAAAACTCGTGGATAGATTTACATAACTCATTATTTGTTTGCAAAATTTAATGCTGTTAAGAATCCATACAAAAGAAGATGCTTAATGTTTAAAAAGTTTAAGTGAAAACTCCAGATTACTTCAAGTAGACTAGTGGGTAGAAAGTATATAACTTATTAATAACCACTATAAGATAATTTAGAAGAATTAATCCAGTGAAAAACATGAAAGGAAAGAAACAAACAAAGAAATAATTATAAATAGAAAACTTCAAATGGCTGGAATAGGTGCAAATATGGCAGTGGTCATGGGAACTATCAGAGTTAGAAAGTTTTATAGTTTGGTTACTAAGAGATACTCATACATAATTAAGATTATCTACAAAGATTGATTACAAAGAAAGAGGGGCAGAAATGGCAATATCCTACAAGGCAAATAGAACTGAAGCTGAAGACCATTAAATGTGGGAGGAGAGGCACGTTTTGTATTAAAATCAGTTTTAGCCCACCAAAAAGACAATAGCTTATTCGCAGGAGAGAAACAAGCATAAATATATATAAAAACAAAAACTGTTAGTAATAAGAAGAGAAACTGATGAAGCAGAGCATTGTGGGAGAATTTAACACACCTTCAGAAACTGAGATGTCAAGTACACAGTAAGTAACCGAACTATAATTAAGAGAATTTGAATCTCTGAATTTTTAAAATAGTGACATGTACACCTTTGTATCGTACCCACAGAAGCTATCATCTGTGTCACTTTAGTTTTCAGATTTGTTGATGAGAGAGTGTATGTGAACTTTACTTGTAATTTTTATTTCCCTCTGTTATTTATGTTATTTTCTCTTTTGTATTCCTTATTTTGGTTAGGTTTGCTTTCTCTTTGTTTAATGAGACTTGCCTAAGATTTGTCTGTTTTACTGATTTTTTTTAAAACTTGAGCTTTTGGTTTCATTGATCAAACTTTCATGTGTTCTCTAAGTCATTCATTTCTGCTTGTAATTTTATCAATTTTGTTGTCTCACATATGGTTTCTTCTGGCTTTTTTGGCCCCGCTTCCTTAGTTTGTTTACTTCTAACCTTTTGTGTTTTCTAATATTTGCATATAAAGAAATTTATTTTGAAAATGGCTGTAGCCACATATCACAGGTTTTGATATGAAGTATTCCTTGTTCATTTAAAAAGAATCTGCAGTATCAATGTGGTTTATTCTGTAAATGAAGAGTTATTCAGAAGTGTGTTTTTAAATTTCCAAGTGTTAAGTGTAGATCATGGCTCACTGGAGTCTCTACTCAGCTCTTCCCTGCCCAGGTCTGGTGTTACCTTAAACCTGGTGTTGGACCCTCTCTTGAGAGCCTTCACCAGGTGAAGCGATAAACAATTAAATCATAATTTTGTTTTATTTTTAATAATTAAGGTGTTTTCCTAATTGTCCTTTATTTCCTTTAGTCTTACTGCTCTGATCCAAACCTCGTGTTAGATTTGAAGAACCTCATTGTGCTTTTTGCTGATACACTTCAGGTTTGTGACCTCTGTTTACATATATTTGTTAAGATTAGTCCTGCACCAGCTCTAAATCTTTTTACTGCCTACTGAAGCTTGAGTAAGTACCTTTCCGTTTTGAGCTGTGTTTCGTCCTTTCCTAGAGCTAGGTTGTTTTGTCTCTCTAGCAATTCCTGATCACCACCTTGACCTTTTATGTTCTCATAAATAGTTCCCATCCCTCTTTTTTTCCTTAGAGCAAATTATTTAATTGAACCAGCCACTACCTTAGTTTTCTTAATTTAGATACAGTCCTGAGTGACTTTAGAGTTTCTTAACTACTGTCTTGAATAATGATTATTGATTCAAACCATATATTATATTAATAAAATAACATTAGAAGTGGGTGAGATTGGTTGCTAAGAGTCACAGGCAGAGTTGTAGGGAGAACTTAGCTGATGTTATAACTTGTGTATATTGATTTTAATTTTCATCTTTTAATTGTTTTCTGATTGACTTAAATATTTTGGTATATACTTCTTTAATTCTTGAGAGATAAATACTAGGTATTAGGTGGTTACATTTAAATTGTTAGCCAAAGGAACAAAGATATCTTTCAATGCCTAATTTCTCTTATGTTAATAATTAAAAAAAAAAATCACCTTATAAAATGAAGCTATTTTCTTATTTTGTTTTAGGTTTATGGTTTTCCTGTAAATCAGCTCTTTGACATGCTGTTAGAAATCAGAGATCAATATAGTGAAACTCTGCTAAAGAAGTGGGCAGGTATTTTCAGGTGAGAAGTTATCTATAGTCATATGTGTGCATGTGTGAGCGCACACATGTGCATGTGTGTACAATGTGTTTATGCATAAGATTTTTCAGATGTAATGAGTAACAAGTGGCTTATATCTTCCAGCTGTGATTCAAGTTATGAATGGTAGTAAAAGTAAGTTGCAACGATGTCCCGTGTAAAGTTCCCAAGTTATCCCAAATCAGTGTGTTAGTGCCTACCATGTGGGGAGCCCCCAAATCCCATCATGGCTTTTTTGTTCCCTTGAATAAATGTCAGCTATCCTGGTTCATACTATTTGTATCATCCTGTGCCTTCTTACGCAATTTTCTGTTTTCTCTCTGAGGATCGTGTCTCATCTACTGCTCTATCATGAGGTAGCAGCTTTTGAGCCCTTTTGAATAATTTAGTTTCTCTGGAACCTTTTTTGGAGACTCACCTGTGACTCCTCATCTTTTGCCTTCTCCACACACAGAGAAGAGGCCTATTACAGTCCAGTATTTGAGGCATATTATTTAAATAGCTGTAACATGCACACAACAATAAGGACATTATTTTGTTACACCTCCCACTGGCAGGTCTCCTTGGACTGGTGCACTCCATGCCATTCACTTGAGTTGCTTGTCCTTTTGAATCTTTCCTCCTTTACTGAAGGTCGCTTCCTGCTATGGCAAGACCCCTTCCTCAGATCAGCTTCCCCTGTTTTCAAATTCTTACAGCTTTGAGATCTTACATTGCCTCTTTAATCTCAACTCTTTATAGTTTATGAACATATCTCTGATAATCACATAGTAAAACTCATTTGTATATTAATATAAACATTTATATTTCTAAGAACCAGGTTTTTCTAATGTTACAGTTGTATTTAATGGAGGATTATCTCTAGAGGAACCTTGAAAATCAATAGCATGATTTATTCATGGTCTTAAGAGCACCTGATCTGATATATTCAATAAGTTTCTGTTTTCATTTTGATAGTATGGTCTTTGCTTTTATGGAACCCCCAGTCTAGTTAAGAGGTCAGAACCTATGAATGAAAAAAAAATCCATCCTTAATGTAAAGCAATAGATGAAGTAAATGAACATAATTTGGACTTATTATGTAAGTTATATTTCCTCATCTGCCAATTTTGAAAGTTGAATGGAAGATCTAGTATAGGATTAAGTAACATAATCAAGTATATTTTATTTAAAAACTAAACACAAATGGAACCCCTTTGCCTTTTCCAGAGCACACATTCTTTTATTGTTAACTTACTTGCCTTAAGAGTTCAATATGTTGCCTTAAATTTTCTGTCTCATCTGTAAATCTCAAATGCTGTGAGATCATGTTTGTAATTGTGCTCTCTTTGCTTCAGAATGTAGTTTTCTTTTTTTCTTCTTTTAAGGATGTCCTTACCTGAAACAGATAGCTATGTTGTAGAAGGAATAGACTAGGGATGGGGAAATGTTTATTTTGGGTTGTGGGATATCTATATACAGCCATTGGAATTCGCCAGAAAATTACTTGTGATCACTACGGTGATTAACCCACCTACTCTTTCTTCCTTCCCTGCCCCCTCCTCCTCCCTCCCCTCCCCCTCCCCTTCCCCCTTCTCTCCCTCTCTCCTTCCTTCCTTCTTTTCTTGCTTTATTTTCTTTATAGAAATATACTTGATTCTGACAACTACAGTCCTATACCAGTAACAAGTGAAGAGATGTATAAAAAGGTGGTAGGACAATTCCCATTCCAAGATGTAGAGCTGGAAAAGGTAAGGAATAGTTTAAAATAAACTTCTGTTTGGTTTGGCATCCTTCACAAGCTTTCGCTGTATCAGTCTCATTAAAGCCATTACCTCTAACTCAGTGGGTTAGAACTACAACACCTTCAAAGGGTGCTTTGGGCTTAGGAGAACAGGAGTTTATGTTTTGGGAGTCAGTAGATAGTTTTGGGGTCCTCCCACCTCTGAAGTATTTGGGGGATTGAAGTGTTTGGTTTACACTTTGAAGTACTTGTTTTTATTATACCCTTAGGACATTTTCTCCCCAAAACAGACAGTAAACTTTACCTTGTGTGCCATGTAATTCTGTTGGTTTTGACAAAGCACTGAGTCATGTATGTACTCCTACAATAATCACACAGACCAGTTCCATCACCCCCCAAATCCCTCATGCTGCCCCCTCTCACCCCCAGCCTTTGGCAACCAACAATCTGGTTGCTATCCGTCTACTTTTGCCTTTTCTAGGACGCCAACATAATTGGAATCATATAGTATGTGATCTTTTGAGACTAGTCTTTTTCACTTAGCGTAATGCTTTTGAGATTCATCTAAGTTGTTTCATGTTGTCAATAGTTCATTCCTTTTTACTGCTGAAATGTATCACAGTTTACTTATCCCTGCGTGTTTTGGAGGACATTTCAATTATTTTAAATTTAAATTTATATCTTATTCATTTTAGCACAAGAAAACTTATAGAAATACTTTCTTAAATTGAGGTTGTTAAGCAGACAGCTCACAATGTAGAAGAAAATTCCTTTTGCATTTTAATTAATTTACAAGTATCTCCAACGTATGTTCGTTTGTGATGCGCTTTCATTAATTCTTGTATTTACAGCAACCATTTCCAAAAAAGTTTCCTTTCTCTGAATTTGTGCCAAAAGTTTACAGCCAAATTAAGGAATTTATCTACGCCTGTCTGAAATTTTCAGAAGATCTTCATCTAAGGTATGGTATGATACAGTGGAAATGCAAGAGACACTGAGATTGAGACTATATATATAAATATCCCCCAAAACTTGATATTTCTTTCAGCTTTGACTTGGAAAGTCTTAATATTTATGTAGTCCCGGTGAAAAGGAATGTTGGAAACTTTTGATTAACTTGTTTTTGTTAATGTTACTTAGCTTATTCTCTACTATTCACTTTAAAGATTTGCATTTCAACACTTTCTCTTAGTGAAAATTCACTAGAAAAGAGTAGTATAATGTACTAGTTTTGACATTCTGTTTGATGAAATTTTAAGGCCAATGGGAGTATTATAGGTAAAATCCTTTGGACATACCCTTTTTATTTTCTTTTTCCAAATATTCTCTGGACTTGTTATAGGCATCCATACCCCCTTTAATTTATGTTTAATTACTTAGCAAACATATATCGAGCCTATTCATATACCAGATACATCCTGCTTTTTTGAGATCGTAGAAATAAAAGGTGTGGTGTTTTGCTCTTAGATATTGTCAGTATCTGCTGAGGATAATGGACATGAAAATAGACATGTAAAATACATCAGGGTGAGTGTTGTAATATATATAATGTACTTTCAAAACACCTAGAAGAACACTTAATTTGTCTTTAAAAATTTGAGGGAGAATAGTCACGATGTTTGGCTTTCTACAGGAACTTCCTTCTCTTAATGAAGCACCATTCACCCAAATCAGGAACCGAGAGTCAGTTTCAACTCCTATTGTCTATTAATAACTCCTTTTCTTTTTTGTTTTTCACCTTCACCTGAGGCTATTTTTTCCATTGATTTCTAGAGAGAGTGGAAGGGAGTCGGGGGGAGGGGAGAGAAACATTGATGTGAGAGAGACCATCTATCTTTTGTTTTTCCCGAATGTATTCTGTATTTCCCTTAGAGTCATTTCTCTAAAATCAGATCTCATTTAACTTTTGTTCTCACCTTTTCAGGGATTCCTCATGGCCTGTAGGATAAAGCTGACTCTGGCCTGACATACTTAGTTGCCTCTTCCCACGCCCCTTGTCCTAGCCTGCCCTATATATACCCTTTCCAGCTTCACATCCCGGGGTAATTTCCCTGTCGCCCCTGCTGTTTTCTGATCATAGCTTACTACTTTAAACCTCTCTGACTTTGCTCATGACTCTTTCTCTACTTCAAATCACTTTTCCCTGTTAGTGTCCTTGACTAGCTTCTAACTATCCCTCAAGATGCAACTGAAACATCATGTGCTGAATGAAGCCTTTTCAACCATTTTTTCCCTAATGGAGTTGATCTAATGCCTCCGTTGTGCTACTCCTGTACCCTGTGAACGCTCACCTTAGAGTTTATCGCTCTACTTGTGTCTGTGTGTTAGACTGCAGGTTCCTTTGTCTATTTGTTTATTGGTTTATTCTCCATACGTTCTGAGTAATCTGTTATCTGTCAGGTGGTGCTTGATAGGAAGGACATTAAGACGATGACGATATGGTCCCTGTCATCAGGGAGCCCCTAATGCATTTGAGGAACTGAGCACTTGCCGATAAGTGCTACGGTGGAGATACGTAGGCGCAACATAGGAACCAACTAAGGCAAATTGAGGAGGTTAGAAAAGGCCCCTTGGAGGGTAGAAACATTTTATGTTTTGTTCAACACAATACCTTCTGCACCCAGTTTAATAAATTTTAAAAAAAAGAACAAAGAATGAGTCAATACAATGTACAGGATGCCAGGCAACTCTGAAAATAGGCATAATTGGAAGGTAGTTTGAGTAACGTGTTTGATAGCCATTCTTACTACGTAAAAAATGAAACATGGGGTTTGTACAATATAATTTATTTCCTCTGAAAATGAGATTGATTTCATAGAAATATTCTCTTGGAATGAGGTTATCTTTGGAAGTTGTAAACTAAAACTTATCCCCCCCC